CTCCGACAGACTAGTCTGTTGGCGTTTGTCAGCGTTTGTCGGTGCAGTGTGAATTGGCCTTAATAATGCAAATCTCTCCCGTGAACTGGCAGAATACAGACAGCACGTTACATGTCCCACCAGAGACAGTAATATATTGGATCACTGTTACATCACAATAAAGGATGCATATCGCTCTGTCCCATGGGCAGCTTTGGGGCTTTCCGATCACTGTTTGGTTCATCTTATACCAACCTACCCACCTGCACTTCAGGTCAGCGAAGCTGATGTGTGTCAGGTCTTCCAGAAGCAGAAAAGACGGAAAGCACCAGTCCCAGACAGTGTCACACCAGCCTGTCTGAAAACCTGTGCTGACCAGCTGGCCCACATCTTTTCACAGACCTTCAACAGATCACTGGAGTTGTGTGATGTCCCTGCCTGCTTCAAATGCTCCACCATCATCTCCTTCCCAAAGAAACCCAAGATAACCGGACTTAATGACTACAGATCTGTTGCTTTAACGTCATGAAGTCATTTGAAAGACTGGTGTTGGCTTATCTGAAGGACATCACTGGACCCTTACTGGACCCCCTGCAGTTTGCTTACTGAGCAAACAGGTCCATGGATGATGCAGTCGACATGGGACTGCACTTCATCCTGCAGCATCTGGACAAAACAGGGACTTATGCAAGGATCCTGTTTGTGGATTTCAGTTCGGCCTTCAATACCTTCATCCCAACACTCCTCCAGACCAAACTAACCCAGCTCTCGGTCCCTAGCTCTATCTGTCAGTGGATCACCAGCCTTCTGACAGATAGGCAACATCTAGAAAGAATTGGTAGAAAGCTGCACCATCAGCACTGGCGCACCCCAGGGATGTGTACTCTCCCCACAGCTCTTCTCTCTGTACACAGATGACTGCACCTCTACTGACCCCTCTGTCAAACTCCTTAAGTTTGCAGACGACACCACACTTATCGGCGTCATCCAGTATGGTGACGAGTCTTTACAGACAAGAGGTTGAGCGGCTGTCTGTCTGGTGCAGTCTGAACAATCTGGAGCTGAACACGCTCAAAACAGTGGAGATGATCGTGGACTTCAGCAGAAACCCCCCTGCACACCCCCCCCCTTCACCATCATGGACAGCACTGTAACAACAGTGGAGTCAGTCAGGTTCCTGGGCACCACCATCTCTCGGGACCTGAAGTGGGACATTCACATTGACTCCATTGTCAAGTAGGCCCAGCAGAGGCTGTACTTCTTTCACCAGCTGAGGAAGTTCAACCTGCCACAGGAGCTGCTGAAACAGTTCTACTCGGCCATCATTGAATCCATCCTTTGCATTTCAATAACTGTCTGGTTCAGCTCGGCTACCAATACTGACCTTAAAGGATGGCAGCGGTTAGTCCGGACTGCTGAGCGAATCACTGGTACAACCCTCCCCACCCTCCAAGAACTGTAATCATCCAGAGTGAGCAAAAGGGCTGGCAAAATCATTCTGGACCCCTTACACCCAGCACACTTCCTCTTCGAACTGCTGCCATCTGGTCGGCACTACAGAGCACTGAGCACCAAAACAGCCAGACATAGGAAAAGCTTCTTCCCTCAGGCCATCTACCTCACAAACAGTTAAATGTCTCCCCCACTGTGCAATAAAACATGTGCAATACCCACTATCCATACCTATATTTATTATACGTTATTGATTTAACATCTATCCAAATTCCCTTGCATAATTTGTATATAGCACACCTGTACATACAATTATTGTCTATTGACTTGTTGTCTATTGTGTATTGTTTTTTGTGTATTTATTTTTAATCACTTGTTTATTTTATCATCTGTGTTTTGTCACTTGTCATCCTGTCTGTGCACTGGAAGCTTCTGTCACCAAGACAAATTCCTAGTGTGTAAGCACACTAGGCAATAAAGCTCTTTCTGATTCTGATTTATCGATTTATTGTTTTTTTGTTTTGTTTTGTTTTTTTAGTCATTTCAATTTGGGAAACTTACTTTTGACTTAATTCATTGTTATTTTAGAAGCAATTCAGTAGAAGCAGTCGAGCAGCAGAAGAGGACAGCAGTCTGTAAGTGTTTTGTATCTTTTCTCATTAGATTTTAGCGTGGTTGTCGTTGCTAGGACACATTGTTTTGTTTACTGTGTTTACCATGGTAAACACCTGCTCAAGTCATATTTGTTCTCGTGCGTATCGCATGGCTTTGCAGTTTCAGTTTAATATGTAGTAAGGCGTGGCCAAAGCCAGGTATAATTTACCTTGTTTGCAAGTACTTGTTAGTAGAAGCAGTTGAGCAGCAGAAGAGGACAGCAGTCTGTAAGTGTTTTGTATCTTTTCTCATTAGATTTTAGCGCAGTTGTCATTGCTAGGACACATTGTTTTGTTTACTGTGTTTACCATAGTAAACACGTGCTCAAGTCGCATTTGTTCTCGTGCGTATCGCGTGGCTTTGCAGTTTCGGTTTAATAAGTAGTAAGGCGTGGCCAGCTGAATTCAATTACGTGGAATCAGGAAGGTATATATTTGCTCAGTACACCGCGGCAGCGGTCGCGGCAGCCCTCCTGTGAAGTCCTCCTCGTGTGAAGACCGACGAGTGTAAAGACCATCGACTCTACCAGCGCGACTCCACTGAATAAGGACACCGACAAGGCACCTGAGAATTTCTTATTTTCCCTTTCTTTACTTTTTGTATAACTTGTTCTCATCTACTTGTTCTAGTTAATTGTACTCAATATGTGCTTCCAAATCTCTACTATTACTACTAACACTCGTAAATCACGCACTGTACGTTGGAGGCAGCGCAATCCCCTAATAATCTGCGAACCGTCCCTATGTCCTCTACTACTTTACTCTCTATTCCAATTGGTCTCTGGAACTGCCAGTCTGCTGTAAACAAAGCAGACTTTCTTTTATCTATTTCTACTCATTCAAGTCTCAACCTCATGGCCCTAACTGAGACTTGGATCAAACCTGAGGACACTGCCACTCCTGCAGCCCTCTCCACTAATTTCACTTTTTCCCACACGCCACGCCCGATTGGGAGGGGTGGAGGGACGGGTCTACTTATTTCAAAAGAATGGAAATTTGATAGTCTACCATCTCTTACCGGCAACAGTTCATTTGAAGCACACGCAATTACAATTTCCCACTCTGTTACAATCCATTTTGTAGTTATTTATTGTCCCCCAGGTCAACTGGGTAACTTCTTAGACGAGTTGGATGTATTACTCTCAAAATTCCCCGAGGACAGTACTCCTCTGGTACTACTCGGGGACTTCAACATCCACCTAGATACACCACAGGCTGCTGACTTCAACACTCTGCTTGCCTCATTTGACCTCAAGCCCGTGTCTACTACAGCTACTCACAAATCAGGTAACCAATTGGACCTTATCTACACATGCTACTGCTCAACTGACAACACTTTAGTTATGCCGTTGCACACCTCAGACAACTTCCTCATCACTTCTAACCTCACACTGACTCCGGACACAATGCACACTCCTCCACACGTCACCTTTTGGCGTAATCTACGCTCGTTCTCTCCCACTCGCCTATCCTCTATGGTTTCATCCTCACTTCCTCCACCCTTTCAGTTTTCAGCACTGGACACAAACACTGCTACTGACATTCTTTGCTCCACTCTAACATCTTTCTTAGACAACTTTTGCTCCCTTTCATCCAGACCAGCATGCACCACCTCCTCTGCCCCCTGGCTGCCTGATGTTCTCCGGGAACATCGCCCTAGACTCAGGGCTGCAGAGAGGAAGTGGCGCAAATCAAAAAACTCTACTGACCTTAGTGTATATCAGTCACTCCTGTCCTCCTTCTCTGCAAGTGTCTCCACTGCTAAAACAACATACTACCACAACAAAATGAACAACTGTTCTGACTCTTGCACGCTTTTCAAAACCTTTTCTTCTATTCTTTATCCTCCTCCACCCCCCCCTCCTTCATCAACTCATACTGCTGATGACTTTGCAATATTCTTCATAAATAAAACAAGAACCATCAGCGACCAATTCTCCACACCACAAACTGACAAAAACTTCATAACCACAAATACTCCTTCTCTCTCCTCCTTCTCTCCACTCTCGGAGGCAGACGTTTCTAAACGTATCCTTTCCAATCATCCTACTACCTGTCCACTTGATTCTATCCCCACTCACTTCCTTCAGGCCATATATTCTTCAGTTAGACCCGCGTTCACTCACGTTATCAACACCTCTCTTCATTCTGGTACATTTCCCACAGCATTCAAGCAGGCTTGGGTAACCCCACTGCTTAAGAAACTATACAAAGAAATGTATGAACATATTAATCACTGGCCCTCAGTTTAGTACAGTACTGCTTACACAAATTTAGCAAATACATTCCTTATAAGCTCTCCATTGAAAAACAGCGATCTATCGTCGATGCTTGAGACTTAGACCTTTAGAATGATATATAGTTTGTCAAGATTAATTATGTCCCTTTTCATTTAATCTATTCGTAAACATTGACACATGCAAACAAAGAGCGTTCAGTGCACCCGCGTCCAGGTGCCCTCGAGTGGTGCACTGAGTGAAATTGGCTGGCACCGTGATGGTCACATTGTGAAACAGGAACATCTGTTGGGGAATTCAGCAGGTCAGCATATTACAATCCCAACTATATTTTTAATACTACTAAATATCTTCAAAATGCCTAATATAAACAAACCTTTAAAGGTCTAGTTCACCCAAAAAATATGAAAATTCACTTTATATTTATTCACCCTGAGGTCATCAAAGATGTAGATGAGTCAGTTTCTTTATTGAAACAGATTAATAATGAGTATAATGACTAATTGTGCCTTTTCTTCCCTGAACTCTAAGTGACTGTTAAATGCTAAATGTTATACGCATCTACAGCCAACTAATCAAGTGAACACTGTCAGCTGTGCAAATCAGATGTGGCATATATTCCCTACAGCAAAAGGCTCAATGTTCTCAGGATCAGTCTTTTGCAGAACATTTCATAAATATTATGATGCCAGACTACATATTCTAACTATGACAAGGAGATTCCCAAATGACAAATGAAGACTGGCAGAGCCAATGGTGACATATAGACTGAAGCCATCTGTCTGTTTATGCCTCAGAAATGAATCACAAAAACAAAAGGATAAACAAATGACAACAAAATATCTGCTATGACCCGTTATGACCTTATATCTTTTGCCATATCTGTCTGAAATGACCTCATTTAAGCACAATCTGCTGTCATAACAATGTGTTATACTGTGGAGTTTTGGTGCTTGTAATATACCCTCATTCTTTTACCTGGCTGACCCGTCACCAGCCTCTTCTAAACTTGGAAGCACACTGATTTTAAATGCTCTTATTCATCAGGAGGAGCAAATAAAGAGGTCTTGGCATTTATTAATTCAACTGCAGAGTGTTTTGAAATCTGCACGCCTCCTCTGATTGAGAATCAACCCTTTATTAACACTCATTCCACTAATTCCTACTGGGGGAAGTCGTGGCCTAATGGTTAGAGAGTCGGACTCGTAACCCAAAGGTTGAAGGTCACAGAGCGTTTTCTCCAATATTGGGTTTGAGGGTCATTTGAGGCTCATTTAAAGCTGCAGTCTGTAAGTTTTGCCTCTTTGTCGCCATCTCTGTTTAAAACCTGCAATTGCAGTTATTTGCGGAATTATCTTCATTGTGGGTTGTGCACTGGCACGGCTCCATCGCGGCTGTTATCTGTAATCAGATGCACATTTTAAACTGGGATATAATCTAATTTTCAGTCACTTGTGTTTCATAAACATACCAATTTTGTACTTTTTAATTACAATCCGCCATCAAATTGATAAGTTTGATTATTCCAGCTGCTGTGAGAAAAGGCTATAAACGATCTTCCACCTGCAGCATCCTCACATGTGATATAGTCTGCTAGCCGGGACAACTTCTTTATGTTTACAGACGTGACGTAATGACGCAGAGGCATGCTCGAATTTCCCGCAAATTCCTACCAGTACCACTCAAATTAGAAAACAATATTATAAGCTTATCGTTGTGAATTGGGCTAAGGTAAGGAGATAGTTTTGAACACTGGCTGGTTATATACTTGCTCAAAAATTGATTTCTGATCATTTTTAACGGACTGCAGCTTTAAGAAAACATGTAAAATGTAAAAACATCTGACTGACTTACAAACTGCTTAAATTATCTTGTGTGTGTGTGTGTGTGTGTGTGTGTGTTTGTGTAATGTGTCTCAGTAAGCACCAGTCATTATGTTAAATCTGAGGTGAAATTAAAGGGCTGATGAGAGCGTGTACTGTAATTGCTAAACTAATCTAACGTCTATGAATTTTACAACACTTTCTAGCTCTGATTCTAATTTTGCAACAGGTCTAGGGAGAATACTGAGTTAAAAAAAAGTTACTGATTTAAAACATGAGGTTTTCAATATGATCTGAAAGACAATCTGGCAAGAGAAAAAAAAAGTTAAAGTAATACGTTAAAGGGATACTTTAATCCCCTTTACCTTAACTTTACACCCCAAAATGAAAATTCTGTCATCATTTACTCACCCTGATATCATTAAAAGCTGTAATGACTTTTTTCTTCTGTGAGAGGCAAAAGGAGACGTATGCATAATGTTCATGCTGCTTTTTTCCATACAGAATTATGAAATGGAATGGTGATTGAGATGATCAAGTTCCAAAAATGACAAGAAATATAACCATAAAATAGCAGTAGCAGTACCATAGCAGTCCATGCTATGATATATGATACCTTTGTGTTAGGGACACTAAGGGTTCACTAAGAATGTCTTTTGTGATGATTTCAGTATGCGCATATTCTGTGCAATTCGGTGCATTGCGATATATGTGTAGTATGGCATCAGTGACATGGTGTGAAATGTCATATTATGTAAGTGGGATTGTCAGTGATGATGCATTGCACACATGCATTGATTAGAAAAGAGCAGTTTGGAAAATCTGTTAAATAACTTCTTTTGTATTCCACACAAGAAAGTAAATTAAACTGGTCTGGAACAACATGAGGAGATTTTAATTTTCCATTTTAAAAACTGTATAGCACACTTGTCAAAGGCATTTTCCATTTAAAGTGAACGAATTTGTGGTTTAAAATGAGATTAAATATGAAAATGTCATGTCTGAGCTCAAAAAGGCAAGTCTTTAAACCTCCTGTTGTTTTCATTTTGATCTCTCTACTTGAGTCAGGGTGTTACACCAGACTCTGGGGGTTCTGGTGAATTCAAGCAATGCAGCATACAGAGAGAAGACACAATGAAAAACATGAAAAATCACTCAAGCAGCTCCTCACCTGAGGGACAGAGAGAACAACACTCATCACCCAGGCCACGCTCAGCATTATTTTGTTCTTCTTCTTAGCCTTATTGATGGCCAGAGGGTTGAGAATGGCCGACTGCCTGTCCAGGCTTATGACCACAGTCACAAACGCACAGGAGTACATCGCCACGAGCTTCAGAAACATTAGCAATCTGCAAGCCAGATCCCCCGCCAACCACTGAACCGTGATGTTCCAAGCCGCATCCACTGGCATCACGATGAAAGTCACCAGCAGATCGGCAACGGTGAGGTTCATGATTAAAATTCTTACATGAGATTTGCGCTTGTTGTTGGTGCTGGCAGCCCACAACACGGAGAGGTTGCACACAGCTGACACTGCGCAAAGAGTGAAGGTAATTATCACCCTCACTTTTGCTGCCATGGAAAAAGTGGGCAGCTGCAATGCCGCTTCACCTGTGCTATTGTTACACGTGGGCAAGGTGTAGTCACAGCTACCGTTCAGAGCATCTGCAGTCAGCTGGTGAAACATGATGTTCTCAGATGTTGGAGAGCTGTCATTCATCACTGAAGAGCGAAAGCGTGTGTTTGCTGCATTTGCTCGGCTACCTGCTGCACAATGAGGCTCACAGATGATTCATCACGATCTGGGGAGGAGACTGTGATAGTACCTGGAAAAGCTCCTTTAGTTGATAGTACTAGAGTGGGATCTAAAAAAAAAAAATCAGACGTCAATCTGGTCATTAAGTGTTTGTAGACAGTGATGCATTTCACAAAAAAAAAACAAAAAAAAAAACATTATGGATGAAAACAAATGTAGCCTATCATCATAATGCAAGTTTAATAGTATTGATTGATCTTTAAATTACGATCTTTAAATGCTAAAACACTACGTATCCTCATGTAGCTACACTATAAACCGACTTTTTGAAGTTGTAAATAAAACACTGGAGTACGTTTTACAAGAAGGTACTATTTCAGTTTTTCAACTTCAAAATGTCACGTTTAATTCAGTGTGTTAGTCTACTTGTCCTATCTTTGTAACTGTTTGTAATATGCATTAAACTCCCAAACGGGTTAATCTACTCATTCAACAGTCGCCTATGTATTTTAATTATTTATTCTAAATAAAATAATTTTCAGTCTTACCTGATATAGGCTACTTCTCCCGGAACGATCGCTTAGAGCATTAGAAGTAATCCAATGACCTTGAAATAAGTAGTTGTTTGTACATATCAGTGAATTATAAACCTTGGGTCAATTCGTATTATCCATTATTTCTAAAATCCGATCTTCAAGTTCAAATGTAGCTCTTCTCAATCACTTGTCCAGACAGATGAATAGTTTGTCATCCAACAAGACACCTGTTCGCAAGGTGACATTCGTCTTGGTGATATAAGTCAGGGTGATTTGTAACTAAAAAGGCACCTCTACTTTTTTCAGAAAAATGAACGTTTAATTGAACGGAAATATTCTGTAGAGAATAAGTTTCAAAAATATAAATCAGTACGTTTCTACCACAGCATCCTCAGTTGGTGCTTTCTATTCCAGTTGGAGAGTGAAGTGTGAATGTCCGTGTGTGTCTGCTTCACTCCGCTTTCCACCGCTTAATTCCCTCACGCGTCACTTGACAACACCCGCGCTAGCTCTCTCGCCGCGCGTGACAATCTGAACTGTCATCACGTAGGGCAGTTGTGTTGCCGTTATCCATATGGAACATGCATGTTTTAGGAAGATACATTCAGTAATTTCATCTAAAACAGAGGACAAATTACTCGGGTGGGAGGGGAAGGGCTTCTCTGGGGATTTGAATCCTCCAACCCGAAGGGGGAAAAAAAAGTTATACTAAAGAGTTTTAATTATGCATAGTGTTTCATTGGCATTTCAAACATAATTTTAGCAAACACAAAGATTAGATTACAAATTGGTAAGCACATATATTCACGCTGTGCCAAACAGATGTTCACAAATTGAGCTCGAGCTAGATCACCTGGGGAGGTTACTATAGCAACAGCACGCGTTCTAGCAGTTCTCCTAAACTCCTAAATAGTTACTATCGTTGTTTTAAAGGTGTTTTCAGTGTGTCTAAATAGTTTATGTTTAGCAAATCTACAGTTTGTGTAAGATAAACCTCAAGAACTACAGAAAATCGTTTAAAACGACGTAAATTCTCCTGACTGATTTGTCTCTTGGCCATTTTCTGTGATGCCACAATCCTCCTAAATGCAATGCAAACGTATAAATTAAATAATATTTCATGATAATTCATGTCTTTTTTTCAGTTTAGCCTACACAAAACATTTACTACAATTCAAATAGTACAAAAATCTTCAAAGAAATTTTCTTTTTAAAGGAGACCTATTATGCCCCTTTTTACAATATGTAATATTACACTCTATAAAATGCTGGGTTAAATATAACCCAGCGCTGGGTTAAAAAGGGACTAGTCTCAGGTGTCCACAGAATGTGTCTGTGAAGTTTCAGCTCCAAATACCCCACAGATCTTTTATTAGGCCTATATCATTTTGAAAATGCCTATTTTGAGTGGAAGCAGGAACACTGTTATGTCTGTGAAGGTAAACAGCTGGGAAAGAAATCGCGAAATCTGAGTGGCTCGTTTTTTCACAAACTTGCAGAGAAAAAAATATATTGGGTTTAGTGTTGTCACGGTACCAAAATTTCAGTATTCGGTACCAATACCAGTGAAAATCCACAGTTCTCGGTAGTAAACAAGTTTCACCCAAAAGTTTAGTCAATAGTTCTGCTGCCACTGAAAAACATCTGTAAACTGTTGTCTGTTTTAGGCTTGTCACGATAACAACTTTGTATTGTGCAATATATTGCCCCACAAATAATTGCGATAAACAATATTATTGTCATTTTAAGACCATTTTATGCCACTGAATATATAATCATAATATAAAAGCATAATAATAAAAGTAGGCCTACACACTTTCAAAAGACAGTATCCATTTAATTCTTTAGATCAGTGTTTCCCAACCGGGGTGCCATGTAAAAAAATCATTTTTTAATATTTTTAAATTGCTAAAATGTTTAAAAAAGCATCTATTATATAACATCCATTTCTGATGTCGCCAATAATTAGAGATGCACCGAAATTCCGGCTGCCGAAAATTAGTTCACCG